GATGCAAACAAACAGGAAAGAAAAACCAAGGAAAAGGAAAAAAAAAGGGGTGGGGATTTAGCTCAGTGGCACAGCGCCTGCCAAGCGAGCATGAGGTCATGAGTTCAATTCCTGGTACTGGAAAAAGGAAAAAAAAAAAAAAAAACAGCCAGTCTCTGTGTTCCCAAGAATGTGTCATTCACAAAAAGAATCTCACTCCCATAAAGCAGCCTCTTGGTGGGTTTGGAGCGGGTGGAAGGTCCCGGGGTTAATAGATGGGGCAGGGCCCCCCCCAGAGGGCAGCCACGGGAAAACAATTCAGGCTTTGGGTGTTGAGTTCTGCCTGTTCGTGTGTTCTAGGAGTTCAGAATGGAGATGGACTACAAACAGTGGATAGTGGACTTTGTTAACCAGTCGCTGCTTCAGCTAAGCACCTGTGACGTAGAAAGCAAGCGCTATGAAAGGACGGAGTTCGCAGAGCTCCTGGGCGAGATGAACCGCCAGTGGCACCGAGTCCACGGGACCCTGAATCGAAAGGTGGGCTCCACGCCACAGTCCCACGGCTTGGACTTCACAAAATACCACTCTCCAAAACACTCAGACAAGGTGTCCACAGTCATAGCCCCTTCCTAAGTCCTGTGCTTTAGATCTTCCGAGGGTGCGGAAGTGGGGAATGATAGCAATTCTTATATCACGAGATTTTTCTGAGTGGAAAATTGACTCAGGCAAGGAAAGCAGGGAAATTTTACTTAAGAAGACGTGGAGTATTATGTCAGGGCACTAAAAAGACGGAGCTTTTGACATTTTCTGTGAGAGCACACGTTCAAAAGGGGCAAAGCTATTTCAGCTTTGAAATGATCGTGGAGAGGAAGGAAAATGTGTGGCTTCTGGGTAGATTTTTTTCACTTTGTGACCTCGGAAAAGATGAAGAAAATGTATTACTGAAAAAAAAATTTACATATTTATTTATACATAAATACTGCTGATGTCTTTTCTGTGTAGAGAATGCATACAAAGAGATTTGTGCAATTAAGATTCGAGTACATGCACGGACCGGTAACAAGAGCAGAGGCACCCACATAGCTCAGAGTTATCACTTTGCTGATACTGCCGTGGTTTAAATACTCTTTTGCAAAGTGCTGGTGGATTTTAACCATGCAGACCATCTTATCTCAACCCCACAGTCCAGCTGTTGGATATTTACTTTAAAGCAGACAATCCTGGGGCTGGGGATTCAGCTGAGCGGCACAGCACCTGCCTGACAAGTGCAAGGTCGTGAGTTCAATTCCTGGTACTGGAAGAAAAAAACACACACACAAATAACCCCCCCACACACACACACACACAAAAACAAAGCAGACAATCCTTCCAAAATGAAAAAGTGTACATAAAGTATTTGACAGTATTTATACTTATAAAAGTGTACAATACCTTAATTTCCAATGTTAGGGGAATAATTAATCAGATGATACTATGTCCATCCGGGCATGGTGGTGTACATCTGTAATCCCTGAACTTGGGAGGCTGAAGCAGGAAGATTGCCACAAGTTTGAGGCCAGTCTGGGCTACATAGTAAGTTCAAGGCCAGCATGAATTCCATAGCAGGACCCTGTCTCAAAAAAAAACCCAAAATGGTACTATGTCCATTTGCTAAGCCATTGGGTAGTCTTTTAAAGTTAATATTAGCATATGTGACCACAAGGAGTGCTTACAGCATTTTGGAAAGCTTCACTTACACCGTGACCATTACCTAATAAAAATTGCAGTGGATGCGAGAAGAACCATAGGATGAAAAGCTGATTTTAAGTTGATGGACAATCAGTGATATTGTTAATGTTGATAGAAAATTTTGCCAGGCATGGTGGCACACACCTATAATCCCAGCACTCTGGAGGCTGAGGCAGGAGGATCGTTGCAAGTTTGAGACCAGCCTGGGCTACAAAGTGAGCTCAAGGCCAGCCTAAGCTGCATAGTGAGACCCTGTCTCAAAAAGTAAAAAAAAAAAAAAAAATTAAGCAGCTTTGATGAAGAGAGTCTGAGGAAAGAATTTCCTTAAGCCGCACCTTGTATTAACAGAGGATGCGGTGAAAACATATTAAAGGTTAGCAGCATAACTTTTGTTTTGTTTTGTTTTGTTTTGTGTTTTTTTTTTTAGTCTTTTTTTCATTGTGTTTTTTTTTATTTTAAAGATTAAAAGAAGGATAATATAGTAATGGGGGGGCTTACCAAATTACAGACAAAGTGGTAGGAAATTATCAGTGGTTACTGTTTTACATATTATTACCTACAAGATAGTTTCTCAGGAAAACAAACAGACAAATAATAGTGATAACTTTTGTTTTGTAAAGCTGTTATGAAACTCCAAAATAGCCAGCTGTCTTGGCAGATGAGCTTTCACTTATAATGTGAGTTTTTTTAAAGAAGAATTTAAATTCTATTTGCTAGCTTAATTAATCCTTAATGCAAAATTACCAGTCTATTTTATGCATTAGAAATGTGGGAAGAAAGTTATCATTTTCAAAATGCCATATCATGCCATGTACACGTTTTAAGCATTGTGGTTTAGTATAGGCATGGTTTTCGTCATATTTTTATTTGCCACTCATAGATACAACATTTAGAGCAACTTTTGGAAAGCATCACGGAGCATGAAAACAAAATACAGATCTTGAACAGCTGGTTGGAGGCCCAGGAAGAGAGACTGAATGCTTTACAGAAACCTGCGAGCGTGCTGTCCATTGAGAAGCTGCTCCTGGACTGTCAGGTGAGGCGCGGGCAGGGCCCCGTCCCCCACGGCACAGTCGGGCTTCAAGGTCCCCACGCTCACCCCAGAAGAAGGCCGGGTGCTGGCGTGTCTGGAGCCTCTGTCCCCACAGCCTGCGCTGACAGCCGTGTGTGTTGCTTAGCAACAGGACTGCATCCAGGGAGCGGCTTCCCGGGCAGGTGTGTCACACAGAGAATACTCTTCCCTGGAGGGGCATCCGGACACAAACCCCTGGGATGACGGCTGCACACCCGGGCTGTGTGGCACTGGCATCTTGTAAAAGACTTGCTGTGTTTGGTTCCTTACAAACATTGGGTCGGCATCCCTGTGTTTTATACAGTTGCAAAGCACTATTTTATATCATAATGAGAAGAAGGTGTTTTCCTGGTCCTTGCTGCTCTTAAGAGATATAAATACTCCTGCTTCCCAAGGGGGTAGAGTATGCACAGAGAATTTCGATTTAGGTGCTCCCCAATTTTCGTGTTCTTTATTACTTTGCCCAGTGCTGGTGCATTTGGTCGGGAGGTTGTGGTCTGTCTGCCAGGCCCCGAGGCCCTCGAGGCAGCCCCTACCGCAGGGCCTGGTCCTCCCTCAGCGCTGCCAAGGGGCGGCCCCCTCGCTCCCAGCCAGGCGCCGAGGCTGCGAGAACGCGTTGCGCAGGGCAGTTGGGGCGGGAGCGTCAGTCAGACCCGGTTCTGCTGAGCTCCTGACGGGGCAGCAGTGGACGTAAAATGAGAGCAACTCACACCGCTGTCACGGGGCTTTGGGAGGTCATGTCCTGTCCCCAGCGCCCGTGTCTGTCTCCACGTGGCCTTCTTAGAGCTGCCTGGCAGACAGTGTCCTTCCTGCGGGAAGCCGAATCCCTCAGCTTGCTGCTGACGGCCCTCTCCAGAGGCAGCCTTCGTCCTTGTCTCTCTGCCCGCACCGTCGTCCCCCCACCCCGTGAAACAGGCGGCCCCCTCAGCAGCCTTTCAGCCGCCTGGCCCTGGTCTCTGTCCCTCGCACCTGTCCTCACCCTGCCTTGGGTGACGTCTCTGAAATGCAGAAGTCGCAGCGGTGCCGGTTGAAAAACCCTTCACCGTCTCCACAGCGCCCGCGGAGTGAAGTTCCTGTGTTTAGGACGGCGTTCCGGGCCCTCTGTGACCCGCCCTCACCTGCTCTTGCGGACAGGCTGTGGCAGCCTGTGGCCCTGTCACCTCAGCACCTCTGCGGAGCTCTTAGTCTTCTGCTTCGTTTTGGTAACTGCGAGCCGTCAGTTGGGTTGGGTTAGCCGCCCACCAACCACCTCTCTAGCAAGCTGGGATTAGCAGATCCCAGAGCCGGGGTGCGGCTCAGTAGCACACACACAAAACCCTGGGTTTGAGCCTCACACTGGCAGGAAAAAGGAAATGTAGACAAAGGTTTCCCATCCGTGGAAACTTTTATTAGCAAACAGCTAAGACAGCGCCCAGACTGTGAGCTCACTGAAGCCCAGCGCCCTCTGCTCTTGGGCCCACCATCAACACCGTGCATGACAGGCTTGCCTGGCGGGGGCGAGGGGACACATCCGTGTTCTGGAAGAAGGGTCCATTATCATTGTGGTCACATTAGGCAACCAGAGTTTTCAAAAGTTAAGCTGGATGTAAAACCACACCAGGAGTCAGGCATGGTGGCGCATGCCTATAATCCTAGCACTCTGAGAGACTGAGGCAGGAGGATCACAAGTCTGAGGCTAGCTGGGTGTGGTGGTGCACTCCTATAATCCCAGCACTTGGGAGGCTGAGGCAGGAGAATCGTTGTGAGCTCAAGACCAGCCTGGGCTACAAAGTGAGCTGAAGGCCAGCCTGAACTGCATAGCGAGACCCTGTCTCGAAAAGACAAAAAAAAAAAAATTGAGGCTAGTCTGAGTAATTCACTGTCTTAGTGAGACCCTGTCTCAAAATAAAAAGAATCAATAAATCATAAGGGCTGAAATGCAGCTCAGTGTAAAGGTCCTGGATTCTATCTTCAGTGCCAGAAAAAAACCAAAACACAGAGACTTGTTCTAGGGATTATCATTTGACTATAGACAACAACTGTGCCCACTTCTTACGTCCTGCTCAGTAAGGATGAGAACTGTTTGCGTAGTAGTTTGGCCAGTCCACCTGTCGTTGATGTATGTGACTTTTCCCCAGGGAGAAAACATGCCTTTGAATACATTGCTAATTTTACCAAGACATTTTTTTCCCCTAACCTTCACCATGGTCACTGGAAAAATGACTCCTGTGGATGGAGGTATAGAACTCAGAAGCATCACGGTGTCCCTCTCTGGAATGCCGGCCTCTGAATTTAAATGTGTGCCTACCCCCCGAGTGTGCCTATCCCTGGGTACTCCGGGGATAGACACACGTGCAATCCGCAGGCAGGTTTGTGCAGCCTCCTGTCTGGTCAGTCCCCCCCTGGAGCCCTCAGCAGCTCCTGCCCTGTGCAGTCACAGAACACTCGATAGCTCTCCCTCACGCCTAGAGCCTCATGCAGGCCTCCTGTGACATCAGAACACAGGCAAAGCACCGTTCCTCCCCCTCCCCCTCCCCAGTCACGTCCACGCACCTCCCTGTGCCCCCCTACTTTGCACTAGCTCGTCGCTCCCATTTTAGTGTGCATTTTGCTTTCTTAGGTGCACCTTCCTAGAAGGCTGTAAACATGGCACAGGTGGAATGAATTCCTAACAAGGCGTTGCCAGCCCCCTGCCTGGCACCTCATGTCACAGGCAGGCTGCGTCCTCACCTGTCTACTCATGCGTCTTCCACTAGACCGGGGGTCTCCGGGACCCAGCTCATCCGCAGCCTGCTGACCCCGTCCCCACCTGCAAGCCCGGTTGGTGGGGAGGGACAGCGGGTGAGGCAGTCGGTTGGTGCAGTGAACAGAGGCATTCGCTGGCAGGGGCTGCTGCAGAGCAGTCTCCCTGCGGGGTACTTTCCCAACAGCCATGAAAAGAGAACCTCAGAAACCTGCGGCATGTTGTCCCTGGACAGCACGCCCGTGTGGGGCTGCCGTCGCAGTAAGAGGTTTTCAGGCATGTTCGCATGGCCTTGCATTCACAGGGAAGATGGTCACACAGTGACGGGTTTCTCTCTCTCTCCCCCTCCCCCTCCCTCTCCCCTCCCCCTTCC